AGGGAGAGGTATTGCACGTGGCCATGTACTGGTGAATGCCTGCTTTGTGCCGGCCATCTCCTGCGATGAGGGCGGGGACACTCCGGCAGACCTAAAGTACAGTGTGATCCATTTCAACAGTGATCTTAGGGGCTTTGTGAGTTCAGGAGAGGGGAGCCAACCTAGTAGGTTACGTCCAGGAGTTACCGATTCTGCCAAGGTCCCAGTGAGTTGAACACTGGATGGTCGGGTCTAATCTGCCCATGAATTCCTTCGGGGCAAAACCTAGGGGCTTGATCCAGAGTGAGGTTCTTATTTCTGGCACCAGCCCATCTTCCCTCTCCTCCTTTCCTCACCCCTGTGCCAGTGTCCACCATGGGAGGAGCAGGGGTTTATGGCCCATGTTCATCATTTCTCATTTGGAAGTCTTCACGGTTTCAGTTTTGCACCTGATCTCTTCGCAGAGCTGTGCTAAGAACCGCCTCTTTTACTGACGTCCTTTCAGTATGCAGCCCCTGCACGCTGCTCCATGGCATATAGTGCTGCGGGCACATAAGCGTGCTCACAGACTAGCTGCCTCTGCTCAGACAATAAAGATGATCCTGGTTTGTACCGTCCAACGTGTCTTTTTTTGTGGGGTGGGGTGGGGGATGGAAGCACAGAATTTTTTTTTTGAGCCTCGTCTTATGTAGAAATGCGCTCAGTAAAACAGATGAAAGCCAAGCTGCTGTCAGAGCAGAGGCTAGAGACTGCTAGACAGAGAGTATCCCCCGGGGAAATGCCTTGCAGGGAACCCCCATAGTTCTGTACAGCCCAGATGGAAAGCCAATGACCTGGACCAATGATTTGGACAGATATTTTTTAATCTTGTTAAATCTGATATGCTGAGGTGATGGTCAACTTTGGTGCATTTATTATATTTGTAGGAATTCTGTTCTGAAAATGGAGCTGTTCACGTGGGAATAAAGTGCCCTGCCTCCCGCCGTGGTAGCCCTGCTCCAGACAGAGGGCTAATCACTGGGTCATGGTCTCCTTGTGAATTCTAGAGAGAAGATACATAGTTTCATAAGGAGAGGAGTGTAGGCTCCCTGGGGTTAAAAAACAAAGAGCAGGGGCTAGGGGGGAATTTCTGAGTGGCGCAGATGGTTAAGTATTGAACTACCACTAACTAAAAGGTTGTCCATTTGAACCTACCGAAAGGCAGCTTGGATGAAAAGCTTAAAGAAATTCTTCCCAAAGATGATAACCATTGAAAACCCTGGGATGCGTGGTGGTTCTTTGACACGCAGGGATTGTGTCATGGTTTCTGGAAGTGCAAAGCAATGGAGATAAACGTAGAGAGAGATCAGAACTGGTCTCTTAGGGCAATGTGCCGTGGCTCGTGCCCAGTTTCTCGTCATTCCTCTAGTAAATGTGCAGTAGAGATAAGGCCATGGAGTTTGGCTTTGCAGAACTGGCATTTGCTGCCTTAAGCAAGCCTCATTAGCTGTTGTCAGAAACTTGATGGGAGGGCTGTTCTTGAACTGTCCACCTGTGCTGCTTCCACGTGCCCCGGCCTGGGAAGCTGGTGTTGCTTTTGCCTCTGGTTAGAGTACAGGGCCCAGTCTTGCTCCAGTGGAGTCCCCGTAAGCGTAGACTGGAGGCCCTCTGTGGAAAGTGTCGGTTCCCCCACCTGCCCATCTACCTACTCAGAACACAGTCTCATTGTGTGTGTGTGTGTGTGTGTGTGTGTGTGTGTGTGTGTGTGTGTGTGTGTGTTCATGAGCTGAAGGAGAATTTTACCCTCTGAGCGTGTCAGGAGACTGTGTGCCTGCGAAGGAGTGCAGGCTTCTCTTTGGTGGTGGATGAGAGGAACCAAGTCTGTGGTAGAGAAGGGAGATGCTGGTCCACGGCACAGAGGACTCTGGAGAGGCTTTCCAGGCAGAGCAGCTGCCCATCCTCCATGGCAGTTGGAAGCATGTGCCAGCCTTCATGACTTCAAGTGCCCCTCTCTGCCCACTCCATGTACTTGAGAGCATTTTGCTGAGTCCCTATTCCAGCTGCTGGACCACAGGAACATGATACAGTCCGCAGGCCTCTGCTCTGGTCTCTTGGAGTGGGACATGACTGGGTCTTGGGGAACTAGGGTTTGGAGGGCCTCCTGAAAGAAGATTTTACCCACATCACAAGGAAGAGCTTGTCAAGGTAGAAGTGGAGCAGAGTGACAGGCAGAGGAGGAGTGGGCCCGAAGCTTAGGAGGGAAAAGAATGCCAAGCATTTCATGCTGCGGATTAAAGGGACACAGGAGAGGTGACAGTCTGGGAGGCAGGTGGGCCTTGAAAGCTATGCTTTGAGGATCAACTCTGGGCAACCCTGCCCTTGGCGTCCTTATACTCTGCCTTGAAGCTTCTCCATTAGCCCCTCGTTGTGGGAGCTCAGCTAGGCGCTAAAGCAGAACAAGATAGAAATGGCTGTGAAACTTCTGCAGCTTCCTGTGACCCTTAGACAAATGCCCCGTCCTCTCCTGAAGCCTGTGTTGAGACTGCCGTCAGGCCCCGTCTGACTCATGTTGCCTTGATCGCAGCAGAATGAGCTGTTGTGCAGTCTCACAGGAGGGTTTCCCGCCCAACCCCAACCCCTCCCCAGCCTTCTCCTTCCCCTCTCGGGAGGTTCTCCTCCAGTGATTCATTGGTTCTTCTTGATGGTGTGGCCAAATCCAGCGACTTGGACAGCACTGTGCTGCGACCCAGGAGGTGTCCACTGGCTGGTTTTCAGGAGAGCGTGTGTTTTTTTCCTTGTCCCAAATCATCTGTCCTTCACCCACCTCCCACCAGAACCAGAAGAGTTACTTAATGTTTAGACTTACTGAGAGAGTCAAGCCTAACCTAAGGGCTAAGTTGGGGGATGACTAGTTTTAAGATGAGTTAAGTATGAGACTTAGTAATCAGTTTTTAACCTGAGTGTTTACGAAAGTTTTAATCATACTAAGTAGTAAATGTGCTTTCTTTCTGTAAAGTTTCAAATAAATATTTAGAGTCCAAACAGGACTGATCAAATTCCTCCTCTGCCCATTCCCACCCCATAGAGAATTTCTGTTCGTTTCAACTGTATTTTCTCTGTGTGTTTACCTGAAAGCATTTGCTGCTTGCTTTATTTGTGCTTTTCTTTAACCAAATAGTATGTCCTAGAGATTTTTTCCTCATATGAACTTTACCTCTGTGATACCAGTTTAGTGATATGAAATAATATCGATATACCAAAATTGTGTTATCTGGTGGCATACAGTTATGCATTGAGCTGTGATCTTAAAGGTTGGTAGTTCACAACCACCAGCCACTCCTCAGGAGAATAATGGAACTTTCTACTCCTGTAAACAGTTACAGTCTTGGAAACTCAAAGGGAAGTTCTACCCTGTGCCACAGGGTCGTTAGGAGTTGGCTTAGACTCAGTGGCAGTGAGTTGGGTTTGGGTTTGTTTTCTCCCCAGTGGGTGGACATTAAAGTTGCTTCCAGTTCTTCACTGTTACAAGCAGCGTGCTAGTGTACATGTTTGTACAGATTTAGTGAATCAAAGTAAATACTTGATAGAATTAGAATTACAGGTTTTACACACATACACACACACACACACACACACACACACACACACACTGACACACTCTCTCTCTCCCCATATCCAAAAACAGAGCATTCACGTGAAACCTTTTGGAAGCAAAAATGGTAGGTAGCAAAGGAGCAATTACTATTCGTTTATAGAGGGAACCGTTTTCAGTATTCCCAGGCCCCCACAACAACCTAACAGTGAACACATAAAACCTAAAATAACCCAACATGGAGGGGTCACAGGCACTCTGTGCTTACAGGAGGGACCTTGCTTGAACATCTCTTGTTAACTTTAGACATTGGCCTGGGGAACACAGCCTTGTATACAGGTGCACACTGGTGCATGTGCAGGTACTCACTCTGTACCTTCCTTGTCTAAATGGGAATGCCAGAGCATCATCCAGGTTGCAGCCACAAAAGTGGGCCTAAGCCCCCTGCCCCTAAACTGGCCTTTCCCATCTCACTGTGCTTGAAACTATCATCCCCTGTAGGAGGCGCACACATTCAGCACTCCAACTACATCCTCATCTTTTAAACCTAGCACTGCCCTCGGACTGGCGAATACTTCTGAATGTAATCTCAGGTAGGAGTAGGGGTGGTAGACATGGCATTTGAGAGGTGAATGAAGAAGTAAGAACGTGAAAGGGCTATAATAGCAGTTTGAAATGAATGCTCAGCAAAGACACCCCCCCCTCACCCTTCCTACACCACTTCCTGAAAGCATCCACGGACCAAGCCACAGTGGCCCAGAGACAGAATCCACAGGCTGACTACCCATGGGAGGCCACGTCGGTGCTTCTAGCCTGGGCAGTGCAGCATATCCCTGTGTGTGATCCCTGTCGATCCAGGGCCCCTCTACCTTGAGGCCAGGTGAATGACCTTTTCCTCTTCTCTCTGTCTTTGTTCCCCCATCCCGGGGACTGCCCTATTGCAGAACTTCCTTCGGTGCCAGAATAACAAGACCAACTACAACCTGGTGTGTGAGACCCTACAGTTTCTGGACTGTATCTGTGGAAGCACGACCGGGGGCCTGGGTCTTCTGGGCCTATACATCAACGAGAAGAACGTGGCGCTGATCAACCAGACCCTGGAGAGCCTCACAGAGTACTGCCAAGGGCCGTGCCATGAGAACCAAGTAAGTTCATTTGTGGTTAGGGAGGGAAAGAAGATGTCTGAGCAATGGCGGTGGTGGAAACTGGTTCAGAAGTCATAGGACCAAGGACTATGTAGGACTTGAGACCTTTTCCAGCCTGGAGAACGAGTCATGGTACTTATTTGGCTTTAAGATTTTTTTTTTGAATTATTTTATTGGGGGCTCTTACAACTCTTATCTCAACCCATATATGCATCCATTGTGTCAAGCACATTTGTGCATTTGTTGCCGCCATCATTCTCAAAACATTTGCTTTCTACTTGAGCCCTTGTCATTTTTTCCCTCCCTCCCCGTTTCCCCCGCCCTTGTGAACCCTTGGTAATTTATAAATTACTATTATTTTGTTGTGACTTACACTGTCCGACATCTCCCTTCACCCACTTTTCTGTTGTCCATCCCCCAAGGAGGAGGTTATATGTAGATCCTTGTAATTGGCTCCCCCTTTCTACCCCACCCTCCCTCCACCCTCCTGCCACTCTCACCACTGGTCCTAAAGGGATCATCTGTCCTGGATTCCCTGTGTTTCCAGTTCCTCTCTGTACCAGTGTACATCCTCTGGTCCAGCCAGATTTGTAAGGTAGAATTCGGATCATGATAGTGGGGGTGGGGGTGGGGCGGGAGGAAGCATTTAGGAACTACCAGAAAGTTGTGTGTTTCATCTTTGCTACACTGCACCCTGACTGGTTCAACTCCTCCCCGTGACCCCTCTGCAGAGGTTGTCCAATTGCCTACAGATGAGCCTGGGGTCACCAATCTGCATTCTCCCTCATTCACAATGATATGCTTTTTTGTTCTCTTTCATGCCTGATCCCTGATCCCTTCGTGATCCCACAGGCAGGTGTGCTTCTTCCATGTGGGCTCTGTTGCTTCTGGGCTAGATGGCCGCTTGTTTACCTTCATTGGCTTTAAGATTTTATCAGAGGACTGATCTCTGGTGTCCTTTGTTGGTTTGAATGCCAAATTCTAACTTGCCTTTTTAGGATTATGTAATAAAATGGCAGGAGTAATGGGCTACACATTGGGCTGCTAACTACAAGTTCAGTGGTTCAAACCCACCAGACTCTCCACAGGAAAAAGATGAGGCTTTCTCCTCCTGTAAAGGGTTGCAGTGTCAGAAACCCACCGGTTTCTGTCCTGTTGTGAGTTGGCATTGGCTCAGTGGCAGGAACTCTAGAGGGGATAAAGTAGGAGCGAGAGCAGAACTTTGTGCTGTGCTGTATTTTAACTGCCAGGAAAAACTCAAAAAGTGCTTACTTGAAAGATGGGATTTAAACATAGCAAGAGCTTGAAAACTCATTTTATGTGAGACTGCGTGAAGTAACATGAGCAGCACCTGGGAGAGTACCGGGGGGTTGAAAGAACATGTGTAGTTGAGAGTCACCGTAACACCATGGATGTTCACATGGCTAGTTAAGGCTTCGAGTCTTACGGTGTCTGATGGGGGTGGACCTTAGTGTTTGCTTTTCTTGAGTAGCATCATTGCTTATAGCTGTGGCAGTAGATGAGGATGACTTTGACCTCCAAAGTTACGGCTCTGCCCTGGCTGAAGGGAGTTGGCCAAGACCCAAAGGACCAGGTGTCTCCCATGGCCCCGGGTGAGGAACCCACTCAGAGAGGAGTGGAGTGGGGTAAGGGAGCAGAGGAGTGTAGAAGAGAACGTGATGTGTATGAAAAGCTTGGACTGAGTCCTTTCTGAATATGTGAGATTAGCATTTCATTAGATTCACATCCTTCTTACGAGACAGATGGTGTTGTCCTGGCTAAGATGAGAAGGAACCCCCCCACCCCACCCCCAAAAAAGAACAGGCTTGAGAAAGAAAGCTTTATCTGACATCTAAGCAAATTGCATCATAACCTCAAGTTTGCATTTTTTTTTGCCAACCGTACGTCTGGGGACGGGAACAGAAGGGAAGGGGACTCACCTGTGAAGGGGGGATCTTGCACGAGGGCAGATGATTAATTCTGATATTGCTTGAATTAAACAGGAAGCTTGCTGTCCAAGCTTCAACCCTGTAAGCAAGGGTACGACATGCATAAAGGGAGTAGGGTGGAAAGGGTGGGACCCGCGTTGAAAGGAGCCAGCAGGGCTGGGCGCCCGCTATCAGTCATGCCCTGGGTTTTCCCTCGGGAACCAAAGCCGTCTACGCCACACCGTTTGAATTCGATTCGACACGACCAGTTTATCAGTTACGTGGGGACTTTCCTGCTGTTTACTGTTAATTCTGAAACCAGAGATTTTCATCTGTCTTTTATTTTTACCACTTTCTCACGGAAAATGTGCGGCTCTCCCCTAGAGACATGACCCCCCAGGAGTGGTGAGCGTCGTGTTAAGTCTCAGCCCTTGCCTGCATGGCTGATGACATCTGACTCACGGCCTGCCCTTGTGTCGATGTCCGTGTGTGTCTGTTTCCTCAGAACTGCATCGCCACCCACGAATCCAACGGCATCGACATCATCACTGCCCTGATCCTCAATGACATCAACCCTCTGGGGAAGAAGAGGATGGACCTTGTGTTAGAACTGAAGGCAAGTAGCAACTGAAGCAAAAGGCGGTGCACTGGAAGTCACTCTTTGTTTTTTGTCTCAGCGCGTGACATGGCCAGTGTTGTAAAACCGGGCATTAAAGATGATCCTTTTCCACCTGTATGAAGGCCCCGAGCTACAAGCTCTGACTAACCCGAATAAGGGTCTTGTGCTGAGATGCCAGCTTATTGATGCCAGGCCACAGAGAATGAGACTGCATCTCTCAAAACTGAGAGATGAGTTCACCTAGCAATTAAGACCCAAGAGCATTGCTTCTGAAAACCACAGGCAAAGAAATGATGGAAACTCCATTTCCTCTGTGGTGTCTGGTCTCTGCCCGCTGGGAGGACAGAGAGCAGTTGAGGAAGAGCCACAGTGACACTGGGCCGCAACCCAACACATGAATCACAGGAAAGGGCTGGCAGCGAGTTCTGAAAAACCAATCATTCCAAACTCCACGGAGCAGGTTCCACTGACACTCGTGGGGTTGGCAGGTGTGGGCACCTGGTGGCTTTTTGCGGGTTTTTAAGTGGTCATTCTACCAGAGAGGTGTTTGTGAAAGTTGGTTTTAATGAGGAAAGTCACACTAGTCAGGGATGTGCCTGTAGGCCTCTGCACCACTTCTTGGAAGTGCAACTGATGCTGAAGCCTTGCTGACAGTTCTACTTCCTGTCACCCCCAATCATTTTGGGGTGTGCAAGTAGTGCTTTCGCTGCTGGGCTCCCAGGCTGGCCTCTTGGGTAGTTGAGAACGTGATACTCTGTCCTTGGGGATGATTTCCTGAGTGTACCAGCAAACCCTCAGCCCTGCGTAAGGGCTTTGAAGAGGCTCTAAGATTCTGAAGATGCATTTCTGAGAACTGAACTTCCAACACACTCTGGTGTCTGAAGTCTACGTGGAAAAGGCTGAGCCTCGCTGAGCACACTCACTTCCTTTGAACTGTTCCCACTGTGGGGCATGTGGAGATGGGTCCTGTATCTCATACCCGTCCACTTTGTCATTGTAACTGAGAGCCAGGTTGATTGCACAGAGGTCGCAGGAAAGAAAGGTTATCAGGGAAGGAAGGTCTCCAGCAGAAGCCCCACCAGCTGGACCTCATAACAGTTTTGCTTGTCCTTTGGTGCTTAAAGCTTGAGTGCTTATACTTTAGTGTTGAAACCACTGGTTAATTTGGATGTGTGGGTTAAATGAAATGGTCTGTTGCTATTTTCATCTTCTTTGGACAGTTTTGTGTGAGGCTTGACATGAGACTCCTTGCAGCTCACACACCTGGCTACCTTCTCAGTAGCATTCCCAGCTACGTGCCTTTGTTTCTGTGAGGATCCAGCAAAAGTCCTTTCCCAGGAAAAGGCCATAGTTTGAGAGCACAGTAACCTGATTGAACGGCTAAGGACCTATGTATGCTCTGGGAGAAGAAAAATAGCCAACCCCAGCTCACCTTCCCCTCCAGACAGCAATAACAGTTTTCAAGGTCTACAGACAAATGAGTAGGAGCCCTGGTAGTGTGGTGCGTCAAGCACTTGACTGTTAACCTCAAGGTCAGCAGTTCAAACCTGCCAGCCGTTCCTGGGGAGAAAGATGTGGCAGTCTGCTTCCATACAGGTTTGCAGCCTTGGGAAGCCTATGGAGTGATTGTTCTCTGCCCTTAAGGTGTCTGTGGGTTAAAGTCAACTCCACGGCAGTGGTGTTGGCTTGCAAAGGAGCGTGCACATTGCCATGGGCTCAAGACCTAAATGAAGTCCAAGCAAAAGAAACGGAGGGTGTGGGTGCGTAAAGATGTTAGACCTAACTAGAAATTGCGGCTCGGCATGTCCCCAGTGCTTCTTAGGGTCATATTTGTTAGCCAGTAGCAGCCAAGCTCTCATTGCGTTGTTGGGGGTCTATAAAGCTAATAGGCCTGTTTTAGGATGTGGAGGAATGACCTCAGGTTAAATGCAATGTTTGGCAAACACCACCACCCCTTGCAGGTACCTTGGGTCTCTATAGATGGTTTTTCCTGTGGCCAATAACATCACAAGGGTGACCACGTGCCCAAAATACCCATGTTTCAATGACCCTTCTCTGTGCATGGGTATATGCCAAGGAACTTCAAGAAGAGATTCTGCCCCCAAAATATTGGCCCGACTCAGAGGCCCTGGGTGGTACAAACAGTTAACACACCAGCTGCTAACCAAACGGTGGGTGCTTTGAATCCATCCAGGGGTGCCCTTGGAAGAAAGGCCTGGTGATCTACTTACTTCCCAAAATCCAGCCATCACAAATTCTACAGGGCTCAGTTTTGCTCTGACACACGTAGTCACCATGAAGCAGAATCGGCTTCATAGCAACTGTCTTTTGGACCCAACCCTGGTTCTGCTGACGTGCTTCTTGGGTCTGCACTTGATGTATGCTCTGTCTGGTGAGCATGGCTTTAGGGGTACTTGATCCTGGTTCGCCCTCGTCATCCAGGGGCCAGTCCTGATATCAAAGGCTCACGCCTTCTTGTTGGTTGCCCCAAGCGACTGCTTATGTCCCTCTTCCCTGTGTTTCTCCCACTAGAACAACGCTTCCAAGCTGCTCCTGGCCATCATGGAGAGCAGGCACGACAGTGAGAATGCAGAGAGGATCCTTTATAACATGAGGCCGAAAGAGCTGGTGAGTTTGGGGACTCTCACCCCTGAGGTTGTTACTCCCATGCGCCCAGGAGCAGAAAGTCCACTTTCCAAGAGCTTTCAGAGATTCTGAAAGTTAGGAGGAGGATGACAGCATGTAACTCGGGCCTCCCACAGGGTATTAAAGAGTGAGTGTACTGCCCTCTCCCTTCAGCACTAGCCACCTGGTAGAACTGCCCTCCTACCCCTGGCGCTGCCCCATCATGGGAGACACTTGTCAAGGGCGACACCCTCAGAGTTCAAGTCTGTGGCTGTGTTAGCTGTGTCTCCTCAGGCAGTCTCTTGAGCTTTCTAAGCTGCGATCTCTGTATCGATAAAAAGAAGATGATAATATGACCTAGTCAGGGAGCTGTTTGGGAGACGAGAGGAGATAGCCCTCTGCTGGCCCTTGGCAGCAGGACCAGCTTATGCGAAACCCTCCGAGAAGCCCAGCACCTTCTCTTCTGCTTCATTGCCACCTCGAGGCCCAATGATGCAGGCGTCAGATTTCTTCTTGATGCCAACCGTGTGGGCAGCAAAGAGGGGGATTGGGGTGCTGGGTGCTGGCGAGTTTTATTTTTAAAGAAAGCACCCTCGTGTGTGTTTGCAGGGTGGGGGGTTCTCAGGCGGGGAGTTAGGCTGTGAGCTGTGAGACAGGCGGCTGTCAAAGACAGTGCAGCGAGCTGGGGACAGTGAAATGCCACTTCTCTATTTGGACTTTTTCCCCAGGCAAATAGATAGTGACTGACAGACATAAACCAGCGCATTGAAACGCCCCTCCTCCCATGACCTAAATGCTCACTTGGGCCCTGGCTAAAGTCCCTGTTCTTACCCCTGTAAGTAAGGTGAGCAGCAGGCCTGGCTCTTCCACTCTAAGTCAGGGCCGGCTTTGGAGTCCACGTTGACACAGTGGCTTATGTAACAGTGCAGGGGTGGCGGTGCGGGAGGGGTGGTGGGGTGGTGGTGGTGCAGTAGTGAGTTCAGGAAGACCCCCTTCAAGTTCCCCCAAATCAAGAGCACAGCCCCCTCCCTCTCTGGCCATTTTGACCCATCTTGAGTGGGGAGTGGGGAAGCCAGCACCCGGCACTTGGGGTGCCACCTTGTGGTTAGAGGGCATTCTTCTTGGCTTATGGGCAAGCATCAGAGGGGGGTCTCTGAAGCAAGCTCACTGTTAAGAAGCCAAATAGGAGGAAAGCTCCAGGCACCCTGTTGCCTGTGTGGTTTGTTACTACAATGGACCGGAAACAGCACTGAGTGGACTGTCCTGTGCAGGGTCCGTCACCGTGTGCACGCTGAAACGTTCCGCCCCTCTGTGCTTGCCCTTGTAACATGAGACGTGTACTTGTAGGAGCGTATGTGTGTGTGTAGTGGAGGGGGGTGCTGACAACAGTTAACATGCTAGGCTGCTGAACAAAAACAAACCCCTGCCGTAGAGTTGAGTCTGACTCATAGTGACCCATCTCGGAACCCCACAAGGACCGCCCCCCTCTGTCCTATAGGGTGGCTGTGAGTCCGCCCGCTCACAGGCACCGTGAGAGATGGTGTCTACTTCCCCAAAGTGGAGCAGTGGAAACCCTCTGGAGCACAGTTCTGCCCTGAGGCACTTGGGGTCACCATGAGTCCAAACCTGGAACCGGCTTGATGGCAGCTGGCTGGCAGTGACGATAAACCGCCTGTGCCCCAACATGATGCCGAAATGCCTTTGACTCATCAAAGGAAAATTATTTTTTAGGACAAGTGTGGGGTGGGAGGTGCTTTTCCTTAACTTTTGAATAGTGAAATATTGAGTGAAAGGATCGTTTGTTAACTATGAGGAGACTTAAGAATGTGGAGAAAAGTAGCGAACACATCATGGACTTTGCCCATGTGCTCTTTGAAGCCCCTTTGTATTGCCCACGGAGGCCTGGTGGCATACCAGCTTACACGTGAGGCTATTGTCCACAGAGTCAGCAGTTTGAAACCACTAGCTGCTCCGTGGGGGAGGGATGGGACTTTCTACTCCCATAAAGATTTAATCTCAGGAACACACAGGGGCAATTCCTCCCTGTTGACTCAATAGCAGTGGGTTTGGGTAGGTTTAGTGTGACTTGGTGTGACTTGGCTTGGGTTTGTTTTGCTTGGGTCCCGACTTTGTCTGAGACTTTGGGCTGGACACTAGGAAGGGAAGCGGAAATGAGCAGAGAGTGGGGGTACATGAGTCTAGAAAACACCCAAAGAAAGTCCTCTAAGCATGAGACTAGCTGTGAAGGGCCATTGGGTAGAGCTGGGACTTGGCACAGGACCAGGAATGTTCCCTGACCTCGCTCAGTCCATATCCTAATCCATGAACACCGCCGGGACTGGTGCTACCTCATCAAAGTGACCTCATCTGAGCAGAAGAAAATTCACACGGTGTTCAGTGAACGTTACTGGTTACAGCCTTCTTTCCCTCTTGTTATCCAAGAAATAGTGTTGCCAGCAATTTCCCAGGGTCCTTAGTACAGAAGAACTCCCCAGGGGCAGCTAGTGGGAAGAACTATAAGAGCAGAAAAAAACCTGACTTTGTGCCACGTTTTAGGGTTTCAAGGTGCTTTTATAGCCAGGGTCCCCTTTCAAAGTGGAAGGTTATGAGTCAGCCACTGGGGGTCTAGGAAGATTGGATGAATTTTATTTCTCATGTCCGTGGAGGTTAACGGGTGGTAACTGCCTGCAATAGTGTTGAGTAGGATTCCAGGGCTAGAGCCGCGCTCCATGAGTAGTGTCTGCCTCAGGAGGGGAGATGGGGGGGGGGGTGTCCCCGAATACCCATCCGAGTAGGGTCTTCCTTGAAACAGGAGCTTTGTTCGCTTGGCCTTTCTTACAGGTGGAAGTGATCAAGAAGGCCTACATGCAAGGTGAAGTGGAATTTGAGGATGGAGAAAATGGCGAGGATGGAGCTGCCTCCCCCCGGAACGTGGGGCACAACATCTACATATTAGCTCATCAGGTGTGGCCTCTCCCTGACCTCACCCAGACTTCGCTTACCTACAGTGCCCCATTTCCCAATGGGGGCACCGTGAAGCCTGCTTTTCCCTTTGGGGTTTCACCCAGGGCTCTTTGCAGGTATGTGTGGCTCTCCGAGGTGCTAAGTTCCAGGACTGTACATTCTTGCTCGTCATAACGTCGCACACTTGGAAATCCCCAAGATTCTAAAAACCACTCAGCTGCCAAGGAGCAGGGACACGTAGATAATAACGTACGGCTTGTCTGAAGTCAACTGAAAGGCATCTTGGGCTTTGCATAAATATTGATGAGTTATCTTAGTAATCTAGAGAAGTAAACTCCAGCTTCCTTGCTATCACATTTGGAGATCTTGGGAACTTGTCATTAAGGCTGCTTTTTGTTTGCTTTTAGGGGATGTCGTAATCCTTTGTGCCTTGGCACCAAAATGCCATGTTTCGTAATTCTCTTCCCAAATGGCTTGGCTTTTGAAAAGACTTCCTCTTTCTGGAGGCTCATGCTCCTTTTTCTGATGTGCATGGGAGCCTGTCACTCCTAGAGGCTTTTTTTTTCCTCTGCCCGTCTCCGTTTTTCATTTGTTGGTTTGTTTGTTTTTTTAACCTCTTCTTAGACTCAGTTACATGAACTCTACAGAAAACTATGGTCCTGGAATTTACCCTGGAGTCACTGGGTGCTGCACAGATGAACATGCTAGGCTTCTCACCAAAAGGCTGGAGTTCAAGTCCACCCATCCATGCCTCTAAACGAGGGCCTGGTGATCTACTTCTGGGAAATTGTCCACAGAAAGCCCTGTGGAGCACAGTTCTACATGGACCCACACAGGGTCACCGGGTGTCCACTTGATGCTTGGATGGAGGGGGGCGATTATTGGCCCTGAGGACGGTAGCTCTTGCTATAATGGAATGGCTGGAGATTATAAAACTGTTTCCTGCCTCTCCATTCTCACCATCTAGCCAGCAGAAAGGGCTTCTGAACACTCAGTGCAGGGCCGGAAGGGCTGAACTGGAAATCCCATTGATCGCCCTCCTGCCTGGCTAAAGAAGCCAGAGGCAAGTAGGTACTGGTGTGATCTGAGCTCTCCAGGCTGTTCGGCTAAACTCCCAGAATAACTGCACAGTGCACTGTGGTGTGTCTAGCAGCCTCTTGAACCCTTTTGCTTTGCCACTCTACTGGATAGTGTGTCTTCTTTAGACCCCTGTTGGAAAGGAGCTGTGTGTTCCTATTGCAAAGAGACAGCAGTGCTTCCCCCCACTCCCCCCTGTTTTCTGTTTTTGGGTTCCAGTTGGCTCGACATAACAAAGAACTCCAGACGATGCTGAAGCCTGGCGGGCAGGTGGACGGAGATGAAGCTCTGGAGTTCTACGCCAAACACACAGCACAAATAGAGGTAAAAGCACAGGTAGGGCTGGGTAGCAAACACAAGACTTTGGAACACAGCTGTCTTGGGATCTCGGTGTTCATTGTTGCTGCAGCCACACATCCCCATTCAGCAGGTCAGTCAAAGTCTAAGGGCCCGTGCTGGGTGCTGACTGTCCAGTGATGGCCAAGAAGACAGCTGTGATTACTGCTTAGGGCCCCAGGCAGGGGCAGACATGCAGCAGACCGTCATCCATGGCAGAGGCTAATCAGATCACGTAGGGCGAGAGGAGTGATTAAAAGGAAGTCCTGCTCAGAGATGACTGGTCTGAAGAAAATGCAAAGAAACACAGACCTTCAGGAAAAGTCAGACTTCACCAGGCAGGGCGTAGTGGAAAGAGCTTTCCAGCCATGGAGAATTGCCCGGCGTCTGGAAAACTGCCTTCTCAGAGGCTTTGCCCAGTAGCAGTGGGGAGCTCTCAGAGTTGGACGAGACAGTTGTGTCCTAAAGAAGTTGCTGTTCCTGAGTGCAGTCAGTGGTGGCATCTCTACTCTGCAGGTGAGGGGAGGAGGGAAACGTCTCAGAGACGTTGTCCTGGGTGCATGGCAGGGATTTTGAGCTAAGGCCCCATCAGTTTGTTTCCATAGCCAATAGCCTCCCTCAAGATTCAAAAGAGCCCTAGACTGTTCTCTCCAGACTCGTGGCGGGAAGGAGTGGTTTTCCTTGTTTGGGGGATGATGAAATATACAAGGACAACATCTGCCTGGGAACAAAGATTTTTCAAGGACTGGCAAACTCCTCTGGGCATTATGAAATGCTCATGATGTTGGTACTTTTTGAGGATATTTTTTTACTTGCTGTCTCCAATCTCTGGGCCAGCCATCCTGACGAAATGGCTGTTTGACTGATGCATTAACCGTGCCAGTGTGTGCGAGCATGTAATCAGGGTTTTTTTAATTGACCAGACACTCGACAGAAGGGTCGACTCTGTCCTCTGGAGCCCTCTAAGGACATACTTTAGGTGCTTCCGTTGAGAATGCCAGGGAAAGGGGAACCCTAGAGATCATTTCATTGACCTTGTGGGTCCACTGAGGAGAAACTGAAGCTTGATCAGGTGGAGAGATACGAATCAGGTCAACCAGCCAGTGAGAGCCAGGAGAAGGGACTGGAAGATTATCATCTTATTCCCCCACTCAGTGTAATGAGAAACAGGCCTGGAGAGATAGGAAATGAGAGGGAGAAAGGGCTGGGCATGATGGCCCGAGCAGCTCACTGGTCCTGCCCTTGCACAACCACCCATCTCTTCAGTGTCCTAGGAGAAGCCCAGGAAAGCTTTATTTCCCCTGAAGCTCTGCATACAGACTCGAGGTCTTGACTCCAGGGAGGGAGGCTGTATAGCTGTGGGGGCTAGAACTTATGCTTACCAGAAAACTCGTCTCCTCATCCTTTCCCCCCTGAACCCAGACCTGCATCTCGGATTGTAGTCCTTCAGTCAAGGGAGGTTGCAGAGCAGGCAGGCTCAGTCTTGGTAGCAAGGGACGTTGGGGTTGGTTTGGAGCCCGTGTGTATGTCAGTCAGACTCACCTGGAGACTGGTTCATGTGCAGAGTCTGGCCGCCCTCGCTCCCTACACACCCACACCAACTCCAGTTCACTGAGGCGGTGTTGGGTTATGAGCCACAATCGATATTATAATTAAGCCTCATGTAACCTCTCTCCAGCTAGAGTTGGGAACCACTGGTCTCAAGACCGCATCCCTGGGAATTAGGGGAATTAGGGTGCTAGGCCTGTGGGAACCTATCTTACCTCTGACAGAGTCTCCCACACAAGTTGGACCTGACTCACCTTGCTTGCTATGTTCATGAGCACAGGTATTGAGAGAGCGAGAACCAGCTCTTCTCGTAGAAGGTGGTGTCACTGTGCCTCACCTGGCTTCTCTGGCCTCTGAGGAGGAAGAATAAAGACAGCCATGCCCTATTGTACTTTAGCTTTGACCCTTTTGAAAGCTCCACCCTCTACACTATGACTTAATACGGCATTTGGCATTCCAGACCAAACTGCCTTCTTATTGGGAAATGAGCCTGGGATGAGCATGGGAAAACCTGTGAGGTGTTCGTCCCAAGGGCCATCCAAGCCCACTTAGAGAACACTGCTGTGAAATGGGGTGAAGAAAGCTGATGGTGCTCGACTATCAAAAGATATAACATCTGGGGTCTTAAAGGCTTGATGAGAAATAAGCGACCATCTAGCTGAGAAACAACAAAGCCCACATGGAAGCAGCACACCAGCCTGTGTTCATGAGGTGTCAGTGGGATCAAGTATCAGGCATCAAAGTCCCAGAGCAAAAAATCATGTGAATGGGTGGGGTGGGGGGGTGCAGAGTGGAGGCCCAAAGCCAATCTGTAAGCAGTTGGACATCCCTTACAGAAGGGTT